TATACTAATACATATTAATTTGGTTTTCTTGTAATAACTGGCTATCTTATTTTCACATTTATTCTATTATAATGCCTGTCCAGATAGCTAACATTTAATTATTCTCCATCACATGCATGTATTTTTTATGTTTAGAAGAGTTCATTGGTAGGATCTTCCTCTCCATTTGATCCTAAGAAAGGTAAAGTGACCGTGCAACGCCCTGGAGACCAAAAAGCTTATCAGTGTGGCCCGAGTAGCAAGAAAAATAAAAAAACAGATTCTGTAAGCATTTATTTATTATACAATGTGTTTTTTTTATTATTCACACAATGTATCTTTTCAGGACGCTCTAAAAGAAATTATCCGTTGTCGGGACGAGGGCACTTCTAGAATAGATCTCTCCAAAGGGCAGCTCCTCTCTCTTCCATCTACGATACGAGATGTTGCAAACAACCTCAAAGAATTGTACTTATACTGCAATAAACTCGTTAGGTTGCCAAGTAAGTCTTTCAGCCTACTCGCATTAGTTACTATGAAAATTCCTTTCTCTAACCTTCTCTACTTATGTAGAAGAAATTGGATGTCTCTCACTCTTGGAAATATTAATGGTGCAGGAAAACTCATTAACACGTCTTCCTGAGTCTCTGGCGAATTGTGTTAATTTAACCATGTTGGATGTGCGCCATAACAAGCTCTGTGAAATCCCTCCAGTTATTTACAAATTAGTTAACCTTACTCATCTACTCCTGCGCTTCAATAGGATTCGTGTAGTAGATGAAGAAATCAGCAATCTGACGGTATGATCTGCATAATACTACATAATATATTTTTTTTCATGTGCTTTTAATCCTTGTTTGATTTGTTATTTCTGGATAGTTCGAACCGAGATTTCGTTGGGTAGATTAAAAATGATTTGACATTTTGCTATCCCTTGCTACGCCGTAGTCATTGCAAAAATATTTTAATTAAATAAACCCTACTCATTACATTGATGGCCAAACTTCTTTAAAGTACTATCTGGTGCAGAACTTCGATTTCGAGAAATTTGTCCCCTTACAAGTAGTCAATGTTCTATATGGAAAGGTGTTTTCGCAAGACAAACAAATATCGTGAGTGAGGATTAGTTATTCATAATTCTGAAATACAATAAGCTTATATTAATGATAATCTAAGTGAAAAAAATGAATCAAAATCAGGGCATATATTCATTTGGCTTGCCTTATTAGTCTCGAACCATAGTTCAATTTCACGTGCCAAATAATTTGGATCGTTAATATTTGGCCTTCTGAGATATATCATCCAGATGCTTTTGCCATTTCAAGGCAATATCGATTTTTGAATAGTAAAATAATATGCAAGATTAGATCATCCAACCAATAGATACTAGTCATTTTTTTCTTAACGCGTAATGTAATCTTCATTGTATCCATACTATGCTGTTCAAACGCAGAAATTAAAACATTCTAATTTATTTCGCCCTTATATAGGATA